TGCTTTCAACTTTAAGTTTGCACCTTGGAATCTGTCAAACACTTTGGTAAGGTTATCAAGCATCTGGTCAAAAGTCTTACCTGTGACAATAATGTCATCTAAGTAGACTAAACATATGTCCCATTGTAGCCCTAGTAGAACACTCTCCATCAGGTGTTCAAAAGTTGCTGGTGCACAACTTAAGCCAAACGGCATGACATTAAACTCAAAGAGCCCTCGCCTTGTGGCTAATGCAGTCTTTGGCTTGTCAGCTGGCGTCATCTCCACTTGCCAGTATCCGGAGCATAGGTCAAGTGTAGAAAACCAAGTGGAACCTTACAACTGGTCTAGAGACTCATCAATCCTCGGGAAAGGATATGCATCTTGTTATGTACGACTATTCAATCGACGGTAGTCTATGCGTCCCGTCTTTCTTCTTGACCAGTACTATTGGTGATGACCAGGGGCTACTTGAAGGTTGAATAACCTCTCTCTCCAACAGGTCATCTATGTTCTTGTCTATCTCGTTCATCAAATGGGCTGGTACTCTCCTTGATTGTTGTTTAATGGGTCTGCTGCCACCTGTCTCAATATGGTGTTTGACTATCCCTGTTCGGCCAAAGTCAAAGTTATTGTCTGCAAACAAAAAAGTGTATTTAATGAGAAACTCTTGCCTTCTGTCTCTGTACAGGAGTCAGACCACTTTCCGACTTCCTTAGTAAATCAGAAAGGTCCTTGCGTAGCTCTTCGGATGGCAACAAGTCATCAGACATAGACTTCTTCTGTACTTCTCCAATCTCTGTCAGCTGCCCTACAACTGTTCCTGTGTGACAATCATCAACCTTACAGGAACTATTTCCCGTGGACGCACCATCGTCCTTGCTGTCAGTGTACCCTCATTCATAGCCTCCTTGCATACTGGCTCCAATATACTATCGCATTTTGGCAGATTTAAGCCATCTGGTACACATACTTTTCCTTGGATAATAACCTCGCTTCTTGGGGGAATACTCACAGTCTCCACAGTGGTAACGCGGAAACAGCCTAGTGACCCCTCTATTGACATAATAACGTCCTTCCCGTTGATGCTAAGCACTTCATTGCTCATGTCTATGGTACAGTTGTTTGCCTTTAGGAAGTCAAGACCTAAAATTCCATCTACCTTGATATCTGTCACAACAGCGTCGTTGTGGTAGGTATTTTTGTCAATAGTAAAGTTAAACTCCGCCTGCCCTCTGACTGACAATGGTGTACCATGGTCTGATTAACTTTATGCAAGTTTGGTCTGACAGTTTCAGACAATCTCTCGTACAACTTTGCCGACACGAGAGTAACAGTAGCCCCTGTGTCAACCAAAACTTTTGTTTTCTCACCCTGAATATTGACACTGACATACAACCCACATTCTTCAATTGCAGATATCCGAGTCCAACAGACACTTGGGGGCCTTTACTTGTCGTCTGGGCGAGTCTTTGACCTGTGGTCATCAGTTTTACTGTATTTCTTTTTGGCCTTATTTCTCAATGAAGGACAGCTGCGCTTGATATGTCCTGGTTTGTTACACTCATAGCCTATGACTTCTTGTCTTGGCCTATCTGCTTTCTTACCAATGTTCTTTTGCCATCTTTTATTCTGTATTTGCCTTGTTGTCTTTAATTCTTTCAGTTCTTCTGCTAAGCTTTTCATACTATCTTCTACAGACTTCATCCAGCCCTCAAGTCTGCTATTTACAAATGTCTCAGGTTGCTCTTCTACCACAGCCGATCTTAAATGCCTCTTTAACTCTCTTTCCCTTCTTTCGACTCTATTATATGCTTCTAGTTCAACTGCGAGACTTATAGCCTCATTAAGATTTGCTGGCCGTGACTGTTTGATTCTAATACGAATATCTGAATCTATCAGTGCATCAATGAAATGATCCTTTGCAAGTGTTTCTCTGACTTCACCAGGCGCCGTTGGGTACGCTAAGTTTGTAAAACATCGAATGGCTTGACCAAGCTCAGACAACGTTTCCGTAGCCTTTTGTCGCCTTTCTTTAAGCTGCACTATGTACAAATCGGTCTGGTTCGGCGGAGAGAATCTTTTTTGCAAAGATCTAACAAGTGCCCCGTATTGCTGTCCCCTCTCGCTTGGCATGTCGCCTAGCACAGCTTGTGCTTGTCCACGCAGTGACAAAGCAAGGAACAACCCCTTTTCACTTCGTCCCAGCCATTGACATTGACACAGGCTTCAAAATGGCACTTGTAATCATCCCAAGAAATTGAGGCGTCATAAGTCCTGGCTATTTCATTGTCTCCATCTGCTCTAGACGTCTCTGTCCACAATAGTGCACTTGCATTGTCTTTGGGATTATCTAGTTCAAAAGGCCTCTCGCAATTACTTGCTCCGAATGACAGATTGTTTTTTAGCCACTCACCATCCTCTTGTCCTTTACCATGTTGCTCGTCAGCAAAGTGGACCTTTGGTCGCGCCCCGCCACTGGTATCTGCATATCGAGGCTTGTCTCTAGGCTCATACCTATCGTAATTTGCATCTTCTTGTACATTGTGGTCTGTGAATGAATATGGCATTTCACCTTGGTATAGATCATAAGACCCAGGTGACAAATTGGTTCGACTTCTTGTTTCATGATGTTTGTCACTCTTAGAAGTGGAACTGTCAAGACGATAACGCTTCAATTTCTCCTCTATCCTATCCATCGTTGCAAGCATACTTGCGACCACAGCAACGTGGTCTTTCCCTGTTGCACTCATTATGTCCTATAAGATCCCATCGCTGCCACCAAATTTTGTAACGTGCGGGACCCGAGCGATCTACTTGGGCTCGTACTTGGTTAATGCCCAAGTCTTATAAGGATGATAATAAATGCAAAATATACAGATCAAAGCAAAATATACAAATATAATGGACACTTGCTTAGTGCGTTATTCAATATATACAAATATGTCACTTGCCTAGTGCTTTAATTAATTAAGTGAACAAAGCGAAACAGTGCTTTCTCTTAGCTAACATACAACTTGGTAGCATGCCACTTGATACTGGTCACAAGCACTTGCCACCTGGCTACCTACCCAACTTGGTCACTTGGTATTACTTGACACCAGTCCTTTCCACCAAAACTACCCATACAACTTGGTCACTTGGTATTACTTGACACCAGTCCTTTCCACCAAAACTACCCATACAACTTGGTCACTTGGTATTACTTGTCACCAGTCCTTGCCGCCAAAACTACCTATACAACTTTGCCAATTGTCAGCAGCACTTGCCTCTTGGCTATCAATACAACTTTGGCCACTTGGCTGTACAAACAATTACAACCACTCTGTAACACTATACATGTACCTGTATCACACAATGCTTGACAAGTTACAATGCTTGGTGAATTGCCTAATAATAACTTATCATAGAAATCTTTAGTTTGCCCGACGGCACATCGTCGTCTGACAACTTGGAATACGGAAGAATACATACCGACACAATTGGCCACTTATACAATCTTTAAGTCAATATATTTAAGTGTCTTCAATGGCAAGAATCCGTTTCTGAGCGTTCCTGCTCGTCTTAACCAAACAATTATTTTTGGTTTGTTTTTATATATATAAAGTTCTTTATTGTATTATCATTTAATCAAATGACCCGTTAATTACACTATTTACAATGATTTCTTGATTAATACAATTTAACAAAAGGGGGGATAACTCTAAACTGTTTCATTACTTTCTTTGCACACCCTACCTTCCTTATAACACTTTGCATATGTTTCATAAAAGTAATCATTCAATGCTTATTTTCGCATTATTCCTAAAATCAATGTTTTGTTTTGTTTTTTAATATATTACATTAAATATTACGGCGCAATATTTATATGAAAGCATATTACAATGAAACACTTACACGAACTTTTAGACAGAACTTCCTGTGAAAAAAAAAAAAATTTAACAATTATTTGCTACATTCAGTTTTATAAATTTCAAAAAAAAAAAAAATAGAAAAAAGAACCCATTCTATTAAGAGTTCTGTCCCTTGGGTTCTCATTGTCCAACAAATTCGTCGGTTTATATGAAAATGAGAGCATTTAACGAATTGGTTTGGATCCAGTTTAAATGGAACCATAGAGACGAAAATCTTCGAGCACACGAAAACGGTCCAATGAGATCCTTGAACAAACTACGTGATATTGCTTAATGCATTCTATCGATTAGAATGAATAGAATTAGCCAATACAATATTTACCTAATAGGACAGCAAATTGACTTCCTAAATGTTTCTGCTTTCAGAATGAACAATTGGCCTAGAGGCTTCTGCGCTCACCTGATTCAATATCAAACATTGCCACTTCAATCACCTATAGGAGTGTATCAAATTACGTACATTTATTGCATCTACCCAGCGTTCTACATAGAATTGGACAAAATAAAGGAAAGCAAATGACCTTTGACTTGAAAATCAATATAGGTCAAATTGTTATCCTGTTCAATTATAACATATTAAATGTACATAAAATTATTACTGTCAGACAAATGGCCGGGTTCTCAATATATGAGCTGGAAACCATTAGATTTGATTTTTTTTTTTACCTTAATATCAAAAGGAGTCATCTCATTGAAGTAGCCAACTCGTTTGTAAAATTGATGACTATCAAACAAACGGTTTTCGACATATTGGTTGGAAACAGTTTGGTTGGTGTGGCAAAAATCTGAGTGACCTTTAGCCTTTGATTTTAAGATCATTAATTTAGGGATTATATTTTCTTATCAATCACACATTAATTTAATGACAATTAAGCAAGGGTTCGCATTAATTTGGTATAAAACCATTAGTTTAACGATTGACAGGTGTAGGACATTAATATTTCTTGAACTGGGACAAAAAAAGTAAATGCTTTTGATTAATGTGAAAAAACTTGTTGCAATGATAAAGCTGCAATTTTTCTTGCCATTCTTATAAACCGGTGTTTACTAACTCTTGTTATGTATATTTGATACCTACAACTGAATGAAAAGGCAAAAGACGAGAGCTTACAAAATTAATCAATCTCTTTAATCTATATTCAACAATAAATACTTAGTATTCAAAAGGCAACGCAGAATTCAATTAATAGTTTTTAACAAATTAAACCCTCTATATTTACATATGTGTATATCAATTAGTCTAATAATGAACTCACTATTAAGAATAAAAACTCAACGAATAATTCAAAACACACGAACGTTCTAGGATCCATGTTCCATCTTAATGCTAGGAAAGTATATCCCGATAAAAGAAACACAAGCACGGCCAAGTTCATTCCTGTGACGTCGGAAAATGTCGGCACAACACTAGGGTTTGCTTGCCAAGAGAGTACCGCGTTGTCCGTAATGTTTTCACTGATCTCATGTAAAGATTTCATAAAATGTGGGACGTCGCCATTTTGTTTCAGAATTGATGTGCACGTGTCTGTGTATGTATTTGCATTCAGATCTTGGTCAATCCTACATGATCCATTAGCTTTTTCTGTAAATGAATTGGTAAAGTTTCTATTCTCAAAAATGAGATTTTGTTTTATAATGTTTGCCATTTCTGAGTCCGAATCACTGTTATCCTGGAAATCAGGAAATCCAACTTGTTTATCATTTCCAGGTTCTGACAAGAATACGTCATCTTCGTCCGTGTCCATGGATTCCAAGTCATAATCTGCTTAAGAGAAATACACGTATTAATTTCCATCAGCAATGAAGTCATTTGAAGTTATTGGAAAAAACAATACGTCTACGAGATATTGCATGTAGTTCCTCTATCTTCATCATATAAACTTGTCAAGATTATCTCGCTACAGAAATACGATGCCCCCCATTGCGAGATAAAGAACATGCCATTATTGATGCTTGTGTATAAACTAACAGCAAAGAATATATCTCGATCTTGGAAAACATACTTTTAGAGAATGGCAATTTACTTCCGAGTGCTGTTAGTGTATCTCAAAATTTGTTAATATACTCTTCACACTAAATTGAAAAATGAACATATGCACAAGACACATAAAAGGCAGATTATATATATATATATATATATATATATATATATATATATATATATATATATATATATATATATATATATATATATATATCGCCTTCTTTCTCTCATGCCTACTTGTGTTCAAAGTCAAGGATGCTTCTGAATTTTCATGGTGACTCAGGTAGGAGACTTGAAACAATATACTCACGATAGGCCACGTGAGATTGAAAAGTCGGCGATAGTTATTACAAAATTTACAATAGTATTCTGTATTTTCCTATTTGTTGTTACCTGGTAAATTCAAAATCAGCAAGGCAGCATTATTTGAGGTTAGTGTTTAGTGAATACTATTCAATATATGAGATATTGGTGTTTGTGAGATTACTTTAGACCGTCTGAAATGATTTCAAACTTTTATATCTTGTCTCAATGATCATAACAAGATATAATCTCTAGAGCTGTTTAAATTGACCAAAATATTATTCGGGAATAATTTTGCTTTCCTCTCTCGGAATGATCTCAGACTTAAGTCTGTTGCTGATCTTCAAGGTCAATTGAGAGATGCTGAAATCCGGTAACAAATCATCCTGGAATTGTAACTTTTAAAACACTCCTATTGGATGATTTCACTTTGAGATGTAGCTAATACCATAATGATATTCCTTATATTAATCCTCCTAGTTATGGCTCCGAAATCATGTCACTCAAATAAAAAGTTGAAATGAATTCAAAAATCATGTCTGACGATAAGTTTTGTACGTTTCATTGAAGCAACTTAAACACTTTGAATGATAAAGATCATGTCAGACCAAAAATTTGTCATCTTTTTTACTCTGAGGGCAAGGTCAGTGAATGAGATTGGAATTATGTCAAAATCTTGTCCGTAGCTACATGTTTTATATATACAATTCAAAATATTTAAAAATGTTGTATGTCTAGCCCAGGTACATGTATAATACCTTTCACTCAACGCAGTTTTATATGTGCACGGAGCGGGTCACAGTATTGTACGGTTTTGAATTCATGTAAACAGAAAATCGTTTCTGAGCCATAAAGTTTGAAATTTCAATGGGAATAAATTCAAAATTCATTATGTTATGCAAGTGTTCATTAATTTGGCCCGGGATAACATTTGTTATTTCATGATTCAGATTATAGGTCATTTCATTAAGGTCACGAGGTCGAAAGGAATGCTTATTTTTATATTTAATATGTCAAAGACAATTAATCAAAGGGGAAATTTTCCTGCAAAATTGCATAGCAGTATGCGGTAGTTTATATAACATTTTGTTGTATATGGATTTCAAATAGCAAATGCATATACATGTATTTATGAGCATCGCAAACATTGCAATATAAATCAACAACAAAAATATATTTCAACAAAAGTACAGAATCTTCATAAAGATATGACCAAATGTCACATGCCTCATTAGTAAATTAATTGCCCTTTATCGTATGAAAGCTTAAGAAATATCATTGCTTGTAAATAAGATTGCTACAACTTTAAAGTTTACATAATGAATTCTTGTTAAACTCGGATTTTTTCGTTAAAAAAATATTAGTGAAGCCTTTAGCATGTGACTGCAGCACAATCCACACCAGTTCCCTGCAATCAGAAGTTATTATACAAGCCTTGCTTTACAAGACAATTGTTTATACAAGGGCAATTAAAACAAGTTGGAGGAACATCTTCTCCTTGGAGTTATCATGTTGCCTGAACAAAGCTCTACAGTGGAGTAAACTCATGATGCTCGTTCTGAAAAGTTAAACATACCACCGAGGGTTTTCTGGCCTAGAACTTGGTTTTCAGTTTGGTTCTGACTATATAAATAACATGCGCTGTAACAAAAAAGTTCATTATCAAAGGTGAGTTAAGTCAAAACAAAGCATTATTAAATAGGGGGCAATAAAGTTTTAAAAAATAAAAACTCTACGTGTTAAACACTACTAATGCAGCCAGTGAGCAGGATGGACACAATCGCACACGTGATATTTAAAAAAGCAAGATGTGTTTGTGAAACACTGATGCCCCCGTATGACAACTTATAGCGAAGGTTAAACTTTCTCAAATGCAAATCAAATATGTTGGTACCCAAAGTAAGATCTTGTACCGAGGAATATACCTGTGAAATATGAAAGCCCTAGCAGCAACCATTGAAAAGATATGGCCAAGGTTAATTTTTTTCAAAAGTAGGTCAAACTCCAAATCACGGACAAAGGGTCAAAGTTGTTGGTATCCTAAGTAAGGTCTTGTCACAAGGATTGCATATGTGAAGTATGAAAGCCCTAGAACCAACTGTTCAAAAGAAATGGCCAAAGTTAAAGTTTTCCAAAAGTAGGTCAAGGTCAATGGTCTATAATTGTTGGTATCTAAAGGAAGGGCTTGTCACAAGGATAACACATTTAAAGAATGAAAGCACTAGCATCAACTGTTCAAAAGTTATGGCTAAGGTTAAAGTTTTCCAAAGGTAGGTCAAACTCCTAGGTCAAGGTCAAAGGGTCAAAGTTGTTGGTATCCGAAGGAAGGTCTTGTCACAAGGATTACAAATATGAAGTATGAAAGCCCTAGCATCAACCGTTCAAAAGTTATAGCCAATGTTAATGTTTTTCAAAAATAGGTCAAACTCCAAGGTCAAGGTCAAAGGGTCAAAAGTGTTGGTATCCAAAGAAAGGGCTTGTCACAAAGATTACACATGTGAAGTATGAAAGCCCTAGCATCAACTGTTCAAAAGTTATGGCCAATGTTAAAGTTGAAAAAAAAATTGTAAAACTGGGTCAAACTCCAAGTTCAAAAGGTCAAATATGATGGTACTCAAAGAAAGGTCTTGTCACAAGGAATATACATGTGAAATATGAAAGCCATAGCTCCAACCAATCAAAAGTTATATGAGCAATGTTAAAGTTTTTGGGGTCAAACAGACAGACAGATGGACGGACAGGTCAAAAACTATATACCCCAGAATCTTCGATACGGGGGCATAAAAACACTTTAATTCACAATGACTGTCCCCATCCTGCTAAAGATTATAATTATCAGAAATAGATATTTAAAAAAATCTTATACAGGATTCCTACTTCTAAAGATTCAATTCTATTCAATGAAACCGTTCCTAAAGGAATTTACCAAAAAGTAACATTTTTTACCATAATAATTAACAGCAAACGATTTGTCATATAAGAAGTCAGGCCAAGTGCGGTTCTTCCATTTTATTCCGCAATACAGAGAAGTTAATGGAGAATCTGGTTGGTTCCGAAAGTATTCTTCTTCCGCTTCCTCCTCTTCCACTTCCTCTTTGATGACCGGAAATGTTTGAGCATGTGCTAATACTCCACCGGAAGATTTCTTAGGTTTGTCCTTTTTAAGAGCTGCAAAAAACATTAAATTATATATCAGAAAATTGAGAACATAATGTTCCGCTTTTTACGTTACACACTAGCTATCAAATATAAAGGATTTCTGCAGGCATTTAGGTAGATTATCACGGGAAATAATTAATCGCCCTTTCTTAATTTTTAATTAACCCAACTGATTACGTCATAACCATCCCGCATTTTCAGTTTTTTTCTCTTGTACCATTGTAGCACTTGCATGTTCTTATTATCTTCCACAGGAAATGGACCTCGTTTTACCTTGGCAGAGGTGACATTTACATCGATATAAGTTGTGTTTTATACAGGTTTAATTAGGTAACGCAGGTTCTTATCGATGTCATTGAGACAGCAAGATCATCATTAGCAATGTAGAAGTTTCTGTTACTCGACGTTTAATTAAAGTTATGAAGTTGTTTTTTTCTTAATTTTAAGCATGAAAATGGAAATTCTTATTAAACCTTAATGACCTTCAGTCGACAAGCAGTAATATTGAAATCATAACAGATGTTCTGAAAATGAACGCAAAGTACAGCTTAGAATCTACATTGTTGTAAAAACGTTTTTATTTACTTAAAATGTAATCTTTGATAATTAATATCATTGTATCTTTAATAGTGCAATATATATCACATCATAATGTTATTTTTTGTTGTAAGTACTTAGTATATAAAAAGAGAATGATTATATCTACATGTATATATACATTGACTATGAAATGATAAAATCTTTCACACACCGAATACTATTCTAAGGGCCCAGTCACAAGTTACCGGATAGCGCATACAGACGTCAAACGGATGGCAATTTTTTTTTCATTCCGTTCGTCTCCGTTTGCATACGTTTCTTGTCCGTTTTTATTCGGTGAATACGGCCAATACGGCCGGTGAAAATACTTTTATCCGACGGAAAGTTTTGAGCATGTCCAAAACTTGGAAAGGGCATCACCAGATATGTTCTATTTAAGAACGGTATATTATTCAGTATATCCGTTTAAAGTGCGGTAGGTATCATTTTGCTTGCGTTTTATACGGGACTCTTATGTTGATGTCTGTTAGACCTAAGTCAGAACTCAGCTCAGTGGACAATTACTGGTAAAGAAACGAATAAACCGGATGTGCTCCGGACACCGGCCGTATGTCTTAGTCTAACGTTCTTTGGCCGTTTGTTTGTTTCTCATGTGTTGCACATTCATTTTTCACGGAACTCATTCTCTAAGGATGCGGTGGGAGACGAATTTTAGCAACGTGTTGCCGAAGAAATGCATTCTGTCTCCGTTTTATCATCCATTTGACATCCGTTATTGCTATCCAGTAAGGTGTGACTGAGCCCTAAGGTAGTATATGTTTTTTTGTGCGCATACAAAACAACACTGACAGGCTCTATATACGATCTATTATATATATATATATATATATATATATATCTGTTCCTGTACATTACCATTTACAAACAAAATATCTGCAGCATCTAGAATGTTACATCAATAAGTCTGATCAGTATTCTTTATCTTCACCTTTTACATTATATCAAAATACAACGGAAAAGACTATTATATTTATGATTTCGATTTGAAAATAAAATAAAGAGCAAGGGCGATTGGAAAAAGCGCGGAAATTAAGTTGTGTCTATCGATAATATCTATACTTATAAATTAATAGATTTTGCAAATAAACTCCGAAACGGGTGCACCAGAGTTCTTACTTACTCCTCTGAGAATACACACGATACAAGATGATGTCCGTAAACTATATTTAGATTTCACTTGCATTGTAAGTATCGTACATTAAATTAAAAGTCTACTTTTATTTTCTATAAACAGCCATGAAATAGCAAAAACGTGAGTACGGTGGCGTTTCCGGTTGGCGGATCTAAGTTACTGGCAATTTTTAATGAAACTGACAACAAGCAATCGTTTATTTATTTCATAAAACGTCATCACTTTATTATTCAATCAAAACTTGATTTAAATGATATAAAGGAAATAAGTTGTGATACCCGATTAAAAAGGAAAATGTGCAGATTATTTTCGTCATTCACCGATCGTAATATTGACGGAAACTTCTAGAACATCATATAGCATCGAGCCCGATGTTAAAAAGAAAAACGAGGTGATTATAGCTGCCTTAACATAAAAAAGCTTTTGTGTGAATGGTCTTTGAAATAATGGTAAATCATTGATAATACTGTAAGTTGTGAATATATTTATATATTACTATTACATATATGTAGTAGGTTTTCCTAATAAATTTATCGGTAAAATTTGTATATATATTCCTCATTGAGAGCATCGTGGCAACGAACCCGAAGTACAATTTGTACTTCGTAATAAACTTGCTTACATGAAAAGAGAATATTAATGAATTAGGCATTATTCAAATACAATTATGCTGTAAAATTTTGCTTTAATCAATACATTTCAGTTTTTTTTTTAAATACAGTCTTTTGTATCAAATACTCGGCCTATTCCAGTGGCGGATCCAGGAATCTTGAAAGGGGGGGGGGGCAACCAGTTTGGGGTTGGGGTAGGGGTCACGGACACACACCAAAAAAATTGACTTATTAAATTTTATGTATATTTTGGACACAAAATGGGAGGGGGGCTGGCCCCCCTCTAAATCCGCCATTGTATTCATAGGGCGTTATATAAAAGCTAATTTTTACACAGGTTCTTGGGTCTTGGATTATAAATATTTATGTACCTTATTGATATGTTAAAAAAAGAGGTAAGGTACAGTTTTTACATATCAATAAGGTACATACATATTTATAAACCAAGACCCAAGTACCTGTGAATTTTTACCCCAAAAAATCTATTTCTCAGTAAAATGTGCATATTCACTGCTTTTATTCTTGACGGAAATGAAATAAGAGCATCTGAAGTACAATATCCATAACATAGTATATACAATATCCATAACATAGTATATAACAGGTTTCTCAATAAACGTCAATTAATGATATTGTTATTTAAGTTTTACACGGGGGGGGGGGGGTGGAGACGTACTTCTACTTCACAAAGTATTTCTTCCAGTTATAAGCCTGTAGGCTGTCAGTAGAAACTACAATATATATTACGAAAGCCTATTTGGATCAAACTACGGTAAAAAAAAAAATTTAAAAGGCGTTATAACGCCTTTTCAAAAGGCGTTATTATGCCTTTTTTCGCGTTATAACGCCTTTCGAAAAGGCGTTATAACGCCTTTCGAAAAGGCGTTATAACGCCTTTTAAATTTTTTTTACCGTAGTTTGATCCTAATAGGCTTTCGTAATGTATAATATTATTATTAGATTTTTTCTGTCGGTAGTGGTATAAATTCAATTCCCCGCGCTTGCGCGGGATTTCATCTAGTTCCACAGATTTATTGGCACGGATCTGATCTAAGAGCCAACGATAGATTCTGAATAAGATAATAATCAGCTAAGAATTTATGACAATTCCGATGAAGACCATATGGTGGCGTCTCTACTGAGGTACACAATGAATCCCTGGACTAAATGTTTCTATTTTAATCTTTAGAAGTCATAACCTGATTCTCTACACTGAAATGATGCCTAATTTATTTTTTAGCAGTACATGTTTTCAGTCATAGCCTAATTCTCTACACTGAAATGGGATTTTTTTTTCTATTTCTAGTCGTACATTTACACAGTCGTAACTTGATTCTCTGGAAGAATTACATGCACATATTCATAACCTGATTTTCTGGACTGAAATGGTACTTTTTATTATTTTTTAGCAGTATAACCTAACTCTACAGACTGAAATGGTGACTTTATTTAGCTCACCTGAGCCGAAGGCTCAAGTGAGCTTTGTCCGTTGCATGTCTGTCGTTGTTGTCGTTTACTTTTCACTTATTCATCTTCTCCAGAAACACTGGGTCAATTTCAACCAAACTTGGCACAAAGTATCCTTGGGAGAAGGGGATTCAAGTTTGTTCAAATGAAGGGCCATTACGCCTTCCTAGGGGAAATAATTAAGAAATATATATATATATATATATATATATATATATATATATATATATATATATATATATATATATATATATATATATATATATATATATATATGTATATTTCCATTTCTATTTGTTTTCTCTGTGATAACTCTTTGAAAGTTAGTTGAGTTGATTTCTTGATCATTCTACCGGAATGCAAATTTCGCCAAGCGAAAGGTTAGGAGCTAAGAAGGCCTAATATGCATGTAATTCTCGTGCGGCTGTCTTTGTGTCTGACTCTAAGGAGGCCTAATAAGCATGTAATTCTCGTGCAGCTGTCTTTTGCTTGACGTTAATGGGCGGGGACTATTGAAATTGACATGTGAGGCCTCGTGTAATTTAAATCTATTAGTCTACATTTTTAAATTTACAATTTTATTTCACAATGAAATGGAAATATAAGGAATCACTGTCTAGTTAGTAAAGTATGCCAGGGACATCAACGATAGTTGGAAACGTGGGATAATTTATGCATAACGGGCTTCGCCCGTTATGCAAATTATCCCACGTTTCCAACTATCGTTGATGCCCTGGCATACTCTACTAACTAGACAGTGATTCCTTAAATAAAACAAAAAACAATATAAGGGATACATAAATCAATAAAAAAAATTCTTCTCAAGAACATCAAAGCTAGATTTATTAATTCGATTTCAGAAGCATCATCAGGTAGAGTAGTTTCAAATGTGTTCCAGTCACGTCCCTGGAGGTAGGGTAAGGCCTCAATAGAATAGAAGAACAAATGTCAGAACCACATTCAAAAAGATATAAAATGACTAAAGAATTGATTGATTGCATTAAAAATATTAATCCCCCATGCGAGGATCGAACCAAAAAAAATTTCGACTTTATTGCACTTGACGGGTAACGCATACTACTGAGCGAATACTGAACTGATTTCTGATTTTTTCCCAGCCAAAGTGCTCAGCTGAGCGATGTGGCCCATGAGCCTCTTGTTAATTTTTAGCAGAACGTGTATGCAGTCATAATCTGATTTTCTGGACTGAAAAGGGTGCATGCCTTTTTTTAAAAAAATGCTAGTACATGTACACAGGATTTCATAACCTGACGAGGAACGGATAAGTACCACCAGTAAGCTATTGATAGAATCACAGAGAGTGCTAAAAACGTGATGGAAACTATAAGGCGATCTGTCTTCGATAATCCGCTTAATGGAATACGTATTTTATTTACAATGGATTAAACGCTGAAATATTGAAATATTTCACTAAAGTTTGTACATTAGATATATAAAAATGAGCAAAAATGCTAAATATGAAGACATTTAACAGATTAATTTCAGTAACATTAAATTAAACACACGTCCAAAGCAAACATTCAAATTAACAACATATATAACCCAGTTTATTCGGGCACTATACAAAAACATGATCTGCATGCAAATTAATGTACCCCGGAGCAACGTTATCATTTAGCATTGAGTAAACTATACATGCAATGAAACCATTCCGCTTCCCGACAGCCAAGCCTTACGTATATATCACAGAATGCACACAATGACGCGACACTGATTGATTGATCTAATGATGGCAGCCTACTTATCATTCTTTAATTAGCAAAATTAACGAAAAGTTAGAATTATAACGGACAGAACATAAATAAAGTTCCCTTCTCCCCCCCCCCCCCTTTGAGAACATAAACAGGTGCCCTAAATTAAGACATGTTAGACACACCTTTATTTGGGTTATCATGACAAAAATACATGTATTTGTGGTTTTTTTTTCCCCTTGTTTATCAAACTTCGTTCATACTAAAATCTCTAATTGTTGTTAATATTAAATGAGAACGATTATCAATAAATATTCTGAATTTTCCCTGATAGTGCACAGTGCCGAAATTATTTTGTTTCTTGTCTTATACAAGACAATGATCTGGACAGACGAAAACATCTTTCTAATGCAGTACTTAAGAGAATAACTGACATATTTTCCAGGTAAATCACACGCACTGTGTTTGCCAAAGCTAATGTAAGCAACATCAGGTTGACATACTGTTAGATGCTGAGGTTGATAATATGTCCTCATTTTGAGTGCAGGAAATTAAGGCAAAATATAAAATTGTATAAATATTAGAATCCCTTTATTTATTTAACCCATGTCACCCGAAAGTTTAGTCCTATGAAACACCCTACTCCTTTTTTTATACACATTAGGCGACCATAATTTGATTTTTAGTTTTACGGATTTTTTTTCAAGAAAGGTCAAGTCGGAGGACGAAAAAAAGGCAAAATTCACAGTTTTTTTTATTTATTGATACATAATTTTGTGAAGTTACATGTACACGGCATTTTATATAACTGTCATGTTTTGCGACGTTTTTTTGTGACACTATTTTCCAACACAGTCTGTTTTGCATTTGATGAATTCGTTTGGTCTCTATATAAAACATGCAATTGTCTCCTTCTTGCTGCCTACCAGGTGTAATGGTTTGGGCCGTGGATATCGGCCTGGGTAGCTCAGTCGGTAGAGCACCTGACTAGTGATGCAGGGGTCCCGGGTTCGATTCCCTGTCCAGCCATACATTTGCTCCTTTCCTGTTACACAGGGATTTATCAGCCTATTTTTGGAAATGCCATTTTTAGGGAATATCGAAAAAATTAAAATGTTGCTTAAATCATATACACAGGTGTATTTCATTTAACATTTCAGCATTTGAACTCTAATTTGGGCAACCAGACAGACAATTAAATATGATCCAACTTCATCATACAAGATCAATTATGAATAATAGGCTAATAAAAGTAAAATCGACTTCAATGACTGAGTATAAAGTATTTATACAACTTAGGGTAGTACATGTGTGTATGAGATTCCAATTTAGGTCATTATAGAATCTTTCTGGAGATTATAAACCTCCCGCAAAAAATTATACCAAGTACACATTTTCTAAAAGTTCTCTTTTAATATACATGTATGAATTAACGCATTAAAAAAATATTTTTCTATCTGAAATGATGCCTACAGTCCTTACCATTCATCGTAGATCAATTGATTAGGTGGAAATAACTCAATAAATCTGTATAATTACACATTATCACCATTTTCAGAAAAACAGAGGAAATTCGGATTAAAAGTTGGCGATGTAAATTTTACAGTTGTTTTTAAACATGTGTTATGACTGTAGCTTTGCTAAATGAGTTAAATAATGAAAATTACAGACAATCTGACAATTTTACTTTGTTTTTTTCCAAGATAATTAATTTTAAAAGCATTGTTCACCTATTGGGAAAAAACGGAAAACACTGCCAAATTGGAAAAAAAAAACTGAACTCATTTTCGATTGGGAATGGGGACGAATTTGCCCCTGAAAAGGTACTGATAAATCCCTGAACTGTTTGAAAGTGCAGTTTGGTTTTTAAAAACAATGAAACCAATCCAACGATGTCCACCTTTCTGCACACATGATGACATGTTTCTATGTTTCTGAATGGTTTGCTATTATAAAACACGGGTTTGACACGAGCGGCTTGAAAAATTCCAGATTTTTTTTTTCAAAATGCAAACTTTTAGAGTCGGCGGATCTGTAAAACTAAAAATCAAATTATGGTCGCCTTATGCAAATTCATTACTCAAGCCTTAAACAAATACAAAGTGATTATGTTTTAATCTAATGCTTTTTACATATATAAAAATCATAATTTTTAAATTTTGTTTCTCCCCCGATCCTAAAGACAAAATTTTCATACGTACCACAAATAAAAAGACATCCGCACACGAAAGGCAAGCAAAGCGGATCCTAAATCTATAGAAAAATACTAATACCTTTCACTGCTAAATAAATCGTACTCGAGGACGAACCTTCGACATTCTCCGCCTGGCATCGGTACGTTGCTTCGTCTTTTTTCGTGGCCTCATTTATTGTTAACGTGTATACACCGTTGTCAGTACTTTCCGTTTGGAATCGGGAATCATCGGGTAAGGCTTTGAAGTCTTTGGTCCAAGTTATGGTCGGATTCGGAAAGGCAACCACTTTACATTCGAAGCAAACTGTCGATCCTTCGTCAACTGTTATTTCTTGTGCCAAGCGTTTGACGAATTCTGGTGCTGGGGAAAAAAGAATACTTTATTAAATGCATGAACCATCATGACATCAGTGTCAATGATGACAAAAAAGTTATTAATTAACCATGCGGGACAGTTGAAGAAACATTTTTTTCACATTTTATGAATACCATTGCCCAGCATTCTAATATTAATAGTTTGATATGTGGGCGTGACCGGTCGGCAGGGGATGCTCATTCCTCCATGGCACCTGATCCCACCTCTAAATTTTGAGGTCCGTGTTTGCTCTGCTCCAAATTGGTATCGTTTCATTGGACTTTCGATATTGAATACTGTTCCTTGTTTTCATATTTCATGTATTGGACCAGTAAAAAAATATATTTTCCTTGCGGACTTTGAGAGGATACGTAAAGAATTTCAGGTCTCACACTTTTTTGTGGCAATTTGCATATAACAAAGTCGGTTTTGGATGAAAATTTTAACTAGATAATAACAAATACTAGTATATGACATAAATAGAAAAATGGATATAACTGAGATAGTTTAGTGACAGCTCCTGCTGTTTGCTTGCTCAAGACTTCAAGCTCTGTCGTGAGGTTATATGTAACAACGGCTGTTCATGTGTAGTGTTAATTAAATTCACACACAGTCCCTTTTCTTCTGTTGCATCAGTGATCACAGAAAAAAATATTCATATGCCATTAAAACCGTGATAACCACCTTAAACTCGATGAACAGATTTTTACTTCATCCTTTACATTTTTAACTGACTAGTTTATACAATTCGCAGCAATCATAAACACCACCAAGCGTTGGCAAACTCCCTCTAAGAGCATTAAGATGTAAACATAATAATCATTTTAGTTCAAACCTTAAGAGAATCCTTGAACCTATAGCCAATACTCTACTTTTTGGAAGCAATGTGAAAAAACGATGTTAAGATGATTTAATTACGACCACGTGTGAAATTCATAAAGTCGATAATTAATAAAGGGCGGTTTGGGATGAGCGGGTTTATCTAATGCCTCTTATGTATAACAACGATTTGCACTAAAGAAGTATCACTGCTTTGTCTGGCATTATAAATGAGGTCATTGCAGGGGGAAAAAATAATGTCAGTGCCCTGTATATTTCGCCCTTTTTTGGACTTCCGATGAAATTTTACTGAATAAACTAAATTAAAATAGATCAGACATGCAAAGAGATATTAAAAGTATATGAGATCCGTTCACTTCGTTCATTCAAAATTATTGTTAGAACAAACGGATCAAAGACCTTGAGACTGTTTGGATGATACAGATATTAAAAGTTGGAGTGCAAAACATGCAATGTATACGAATTCTATACCGGCATATAACTCCATTTTCTCTCCTCTAAAGGATTTATGTTTGCTTACATTCATCATGTTCATATTCCACAAAGCTTTGACAATCTGCTGTCTAGATTCGACCATAGTGCAGATTCCAATATCATGTCTCAGTGCTTTTTGTTGACTATTTGTAAAGTAATGCGTAAGAAGCAAAAAGATATGTGTAGCTGTCTTATACTGAGTACGTCTGATCCCATAGATAGGGGAGCTCCCCGCGGACAAGCCATAATCCTCCATGAATACTGCAACTTGGAAATATTATTTGACAATGTCGATGCTTGGGTGCATTGCTCTTGGAAGTATACAGCATAAAGAAATATACATGTATCTGGTCAATCTTAACGATTGAATGGAAATTAAAAGAATTTTTTTACTTGCAAGTAGATCTTAAGCAGAGCGAAGTAAAAAAAAAAATACGTGTGCTTGTCTCCTGATGAGTTTACATCAATGATTCCTCAAAATAAACTATTAGTATTACATATAAAATGACATGAAAATACATGTTTATATTCATTTTAATAACCTATTGCATTTTGAAAGTCTATTATTTACGCTCAATATTACAGAGTTTTTGAGGAACTTTATTAACTACGCGTCCTATTGAACGACCTCTACACACACTTTTAGAGAGCAAAATAAAAAATCATTGATATTACGAAAAAAAAATGGAAGAAAAAACATTGAATCCTAGGCGAGCGCTGAGCAACACCTGTTATTTCCGACCTAGCCAAGTCTTTGAACAAGAACTTACCCCTGTATAGCGAGCGCTTCCTGGCCAGAGTCAGTGGTCCCCTCCGCTCTACCCGCGCTAGAATACTCTCTATATCCACATCCGAATAACGATCACCATCTTCATTTTGTACTCGCGCCATCGACAAAAATATGCCCCACAATTTTTTTCAAACAGGAAAGGACGAAACAAGGAAGGATGCTAGGGTTCCTTCCATCATTGCCTCAACTAATAAACAAATACTAGATCAATGATCCCACAGATAAAACCAAGCAGGCTCCAACAGCAACTATAAATAGCATCCCGTCACGAAATAACGCTCGGCAGCTTACGGGATTTTGTTTTCAGTCGTATGTTCATTAGCAACAGTTGAATGTGTTATTTACGTGTCTATGATTGATTCTTTTTTGAAACCATGACTTTGATGAATGACCTTTTTAAAGAAACGACTCAGAATGTCTGCCATTGTGTTAATTAAATCTAGAATTTTGCCATCCGTTCAATATTAAGGTAGACTTACACCCTACACATAACAAAATTGGCATTTTAAGTCTTTCTTTAAGTACCGCCCTCCAAAACGTATATCATACCACAATGAAAAAAATATTAAAGAAAAAGGTAGTGGAAAATTGTCATTCTACAGCCAATTATTAAGTTCACAAAATCTAAACCAACTGGAAATTCAAAAGTATTTAAAATTTTCCATTTCCAAAAAAAAAAAAATTAGTTCTTTTTTGAATTAATGAAGAATAAGTGCCCATAAATTACAGATAGAGGTTGGCAGATATTGTAATCCAATATTGTTCCAAGGGATGAAAGATATATTGTATTAAATGTCATATTGTTGTTGAAGATGAACATCACTTTATTTGTACGTCCTTTTTATATAAACGACTGTAAAGTGAATATTGTACACTTTTTAACAATACATACATATGTATATCTGATAAAACTCCTAATCCAGCAGATGATAAGTAAACAAGAAATATTTTTAACTTCAGACGTGATATATTTAACAAGAAATTCTATGTGATTATATTTGTATACTATATGTATGACTTGCGCCACATGTGATTTTTGTCAATAAATAAATAAATGAATAGAAAAAAAATAAAAATATCTGAAGTTAAACAGAATTCATTATAAGAACGACAAACTTCTTTACATGGTTATTAATTTTTTTAGAAAACATTAAAAGTACAAACCATTGAGGCGCCATTTTGGTATTATGTTAATTGTCATTTAGTGATATAAGCCATTCGAATAGGTGATATCACCTATTCTAATTGGCGATGTCATGTCACTCATTCAAATGGAATAGTTGATATCACCTATTCAAATAGGAGATATCACTTATTCGAATAGGTGATATCACCTATTTGATTTGAATATGTGATATCAACTATTCGAATTGGTGATATCACCTTTTCATTTTAAAATGGTTATCACTTATCCGAATGAGTGATATCAATTATATGAAATAACATGCTCCCAAGACTATATTTGTACTGCATACATTTATTCTATACAGGAAGTAAATATTTCAGTCTCTTTGTACATAAATAATAATAATAGAGAAAACGCAACCATAAATATAGCAAAATTGAATGCAAGTTAAATATATAATGTCACAGGAATCGATAAAATATGACGTTTTAAAATGTCTCAGACTCTAACACACAGGGGGAAATGGCAGCCCGATTTGCTTAGGGTCCCCCCCCCCCCATCCCCGCCCTTTTGAGTCAAAAAGATCTTACAGCGAATTTTCAGTTTATTTGATCAAGGCAATGTGCAAATAGTCGAGGATGTATCTATCAAATTAAGTTCAACAAGTCCATAGAATCATTTACAATCATTTTAAAAAGGTTATTTAAAAGTAATGAAATCAATATGATCATTTTTTTAATCAATGCTAAGAAAATAAAATTGTTCTTTGTAAGCCTTTTTCCATCTTTACGTTGACACTAGATCGTCTTGTAAAAGAGATCATTCATTATCTAATATTGTAAGAAATGCAAATAGGTGATCTCACGTATTGAAATTGGTGATATCACCTATTTGATTTGAATAGGATAGGTGATATCGATATAAATAAATAAATATTGATTTGAATCAAATAGGTGATATCACCATTTCAAATCAAATAGATGATATCACAAATTCAAATCAAATAAGTTATATCACCTACTAGTATTCAAAATAGGTGTATCACCAATTCAATACCTGAATACGTGATACCACTTATTCGAATAGGTGTTACTTTATGTCAATAAATACCAAAACTGCCTCTTATATCTTGCATAACAGAGGTATGGTACTACAATTGTCGTACTTTGTAAACATATGTTCTTCCAAGTAAAAATTTCTTGCATCCATTATACTTCACAGTTCTTTTAAAAGATTACTTTAACCCCGGTCTTTTCGGTGGTAAAAGTATTGCAGGGGAGGTAGAGAAATTTACTATAGTTTGAATTCAGTTGTCTCATTTCATATTAATGAAATTTTCCTTGAAAATGATACGCGGATAAAGTTCTACTAATATTCTGTTATTCGAATTATTTTCGAAGAATACTGAAATAGTCGGTGACATCCCTATAAATATTTTCTTAAAAATGCCTCTTAATCAATTTTTTTTTCTACTCCTTGGTATCTACATTTCCTTGGTCTTCATATTATCACATTAAATTAAGGAATAAAAATCGAAAACAACTCGTTGAAAAAGAATTAAATTCTGAAAAGCTTTTCCATTAAAGGGGCTGGGACACAGATTTGAGGCTCATATTTTCTAAAATTCATTTTAAAAATATAGAATCATATCATATACCTAGTAGTGTATCAGGGTTACAGATATAAAGACCTATGAGATATAAAATTGTACCAAGGTTAGAGATGCAAAGACCTATGAGATGTTACACGGAATCAGGATTACAGTTATGAAGACCTATGAGATATTAAATTGAATCAGGGTTACAGTTATGAAGACCTTTGAGATGTTACACTGAATCAGGATTACAGATACAAAGACCTATGAGATGTTACAATGAAACAGGATTACAGATACAAAGACCTATGAGATGTTACACTGAATTAGGATTTCAGATACAAAGACCTATGCGATGTTACATTGAATCAGGATTACAGATACAAAGTCCTATGATATGTTACACTGAATCAGGATTACAGATACAAAGACCTATGAGATGTTACACTAAATCAGGATTACAGATACAAAGACCTATGCGATGTTACACTGAATCAGGATTACAGATACAAAGACCTATGAGATGTTTCACTGAATCAGGATTACAGATACAAAGACCTATGCGATGTTACACTAAATCAGGATTACAGATATGAAGACCTATGAGATGTTACACTAAATCAGGATTACAGATATGAAGACCTATGAGATGTTACACTAAATCAGGATTACAGATATGAAGACCTTTGAAATGTTAAACTGAATCAGGATTACAGATACAAAGACCTTTGGAATGTTAAACTGAATCAGGATTACAGATACAAAGACCTATGAGATGTTACACTGAATCAGGATTACAGATACAAAGACCTTTGAGATGTTACACTGAATCAGGATTACAGATATGAAGATCTATGAGATGTTACACTGAATCAGGATTACGGATATGAAGACCTTTGAGATATAAAATTGAATAAGGGTCACATTGGCAAAATATACTTTGTGATATTAGCTTGAATAACGGTTACAGTGTTAAAGATATTTAAGATACCTTGCTCTTTTACTCTTTTAGATAAATAAGTTTCAGATACAAGGTTGTATCAAAATAACAATTTCATCATAATGATTTTATCATTTTATTTGCAATATAAATTACATCCCTGCATTCAATAAAGCCTTTTCCTGGGCATTACATGGGAAACGAAAGATGAAAAAGTCCTTGTCCTGCGGCCCTACAAAAAAGGTCAAATTGTGTACTCACTTTAATGTACATGTATCTTGTGTACTCACTTTAATGTACACGTATCTTGTTACTCACTTTTATGAACATGTATCTTGTGTACTCACTTTAATGTACACGTATCTTGTGTACTCACTTTAATGTACATGTATCTTGTGTACTCTCTTTAATGTACACGTATCTTGTGTACTCACTTTAATGTACACGTATCTTGTGTACTCACTTTAATGTACACGTATCGTGTGTACTCAATTTAATGTACACGTATCTTGTGTACTCACATTAATGTACACGTATCTTGTGTACTCACTGTACATGCATCTTGTGTATTCACTTAAATGTATCTTGTGTAATTACTTTAAAGACAGAGCTTTAAAAAGTAATTTAAAATGAAAATGAAGTAATGATATTGAATCGGATTTATATTTTGACTAATTCAGACCATAATGAATTGTATATGTGGAATCTAAAAATAGTGTGCTATTTTATAATATGATGGAAACAATACAAAGACGTCACACGATGGCTGAGAAATCTTAAGTCCTGAATACTTAAAGCAAATTTAAGCCATTAAAAAAAGTACTGTATAATAAATTATTTTACTTCGCCTTATAAGTGTAATGTAAATTTTACTGACAGAATACTTACTGTTTGCTCCTGCATCCCAGTCAAATTTCATTTAAATCTGAAACAATGTATTTATATTGTTATCAATTGTATAAACTTTCATCAATTATATAAACTTTCATCAATTACATGTATATAAACTATATCATGTATGTATTGTCATCAGTTATATAAATTATATACATGTGTATATTCATATTGTCATCAATTGTATAAACTATATGTATTTATGTTGTAATCAGTTGTAAAAACTATATGTATTTATATTGTCATCAATTGCATAAACTATCTGTATTACATTGTCATCAATTGTATTAACTATATAAGTGTTAGCATGAAACTTAATCAGACATCATCTGGTTTTCAGTGCTTCAAATATGACAAACATCTCTGATTCAGAATAACAGTATAAGAACTTACATATTTAGATGAAGGTGGCATCATTTTGTTCATGTTAACTGGCATCATGTTCATCTTCATGGACATCATGTTCATTGTATTTTTATTCATGGGCATTGCATTCATCATATCCATACCGTTATTCATGTTCATTGCATTCTTATTCATGGGCATTGCATTCATCATGTCCATGGCGTTTTTCATGTTCATTGCGTTTTTATCCATGGGCATTGCATTCATCATGTCCATGGCGTTGTTCATGTTCATTGCGTTTTTATTCATGGGCATTGCGTTCATCATATCCATTGCGTTGTTCATGTTCATTGTATTTTTATCCATGGGCATTGCATTCATCATGTCCATGGCATTGTTCATGTTCATTGCGTTTTTATTTATGGGCATTGCATTCATCATGTCCATGGCGTTGTTCATGTTCATTGCGTTTTTATTCATGGGCATTGCATTCATCATGTCCATTTTATCATTGGGCATCATGTTCGTCATGTCCATGCCGTTTTTCATGTTCATTGGCATCATATCCATCTTCATAGGCATGTCCATAGGTTTGTTGTTCATGTTCATGCCATTATTCATGTTCATTGACATCCTATCCATATTCATGGGCATGTCCATTGGTTTTTTATTCATTTCCATGTTAATCATTTCCATGACATTTTTCATGTTCATTTCCATTGGTTTTTTATCCATGTTCATTTTGTTCATCATATTCATTTTCATCATATCCATGCTATTTTTCATCATGTCCACAGCATTGGCCATCTCCATCATTTTAGCCATATCCATGGCGTTTTTCATTGCTTTACCCATGTCCATCGCTTTCTTCATGTTCATCATGTCATTCATCATATTGCCCATATCCATTGCCTTTTTCATATCCATCATTTTGTTAATGGCTTTCATATTCATTGGCATATTCATATCTTTTCCATTAGCCATGTCCATAGGCTTCATTTCCATCATGTCCATGCCTTTGTTGTTTTCCATATTCATGGACATCATGTTCATTCCATTGCTATTATCCATATTCATAGGCATGGGCATCATGTCCATTCCTTTGTTATTTCCAATATTCATGGGCATGGGCATCATTTCTGTTCCTTTGTTATTTCCCATATTCATGGACATCATGTCCATTCCATTGCTATTTCCCATATTCATAGGCATCATGTCCATGTTATTGTTATTTCCCATATTCATGGGCATGGGCATCATGTCCATTCCTTTGTTATTTCCCATATTCATGGACATCATGTCCATGTTATTGTTATTTCCCATATTCATGGGCATGGGCATCATGTCCATTCCTTTGTTATTTCCCATATTCATGGGCTCTGGCATTGGCACAGTCATTTTATCCATTCCTTTGTTGTTGGCCATGTCCATGGTCATCATTTTCACGCCATTGTCCATACCCATTGGTTTCATTGGCGTGTTCATTCCATTATTCATACCTGCGTTTCCCATGTCCATCATAGGTCCCATCATATTACCCATTTCTGGAGCCGAACGCTTTCCATATAAACTGGCTGCATTTGCAGAAACCAAAAGAGCCAAACAGACCAGATAAAAGAAAGCCATCTGAAATCAGAAAAATAGCTGTTTTCATCAAATTGAATAGGAAGCTGGACAATTAGGCTTTGGTTTGGGTTGACTTTTTCTTAATATACGAACACATTGCTAAACAATGAGTCCTTGTATCAAATAATATGCATTCATTCATTTTAGGAAATTATTCAATTTCTGCATAACTTAAGTAGATGATTCAGTTCTTCTTTTCTGGAAAAATCGTAAAAAAGATCAATATTAACTTACCTTAAAGGACCAATTGAGTCGGGTTAGATGTTGAAGTGATGGAACTTGATGGTTCAGTAACGACTCCGACTTACGGCTAGCGTCTTTTATACCAAACCTTTCCTGCCTCAGACGACCGGAAATACGGTACATTTATGCACTACGTGTGAGAAATGTCAATTTTTACATGTTTTACACGATCATTAACGGGATCACATCAAAAGATTTGAATTTTTGGAGTAAGAAAGGTTCTAATTTGGTCACACTAATATAACGATTACATAACAGAATTGCTTACGGTGCACCACACGAGGAGTGGCCTTGTGGTGAACTTTTATCGGACATCTGTAGAAAATTATGCCACGTCCAGACTTTGGAACTTTGGGAAAAGTAAAGGAAGAGACCTTTAAAAAGTGAGTTTTAATTTGTTTAATTTTTGATGTGACAATTTTTTTTCTCTTTTTGATTTTCTTTTTTTTTTTTAACATGCTATGTTTAAGTTTTTCTTTTTGATTTATAAATATCGTAAAATTCAATAATTATTTTTACTTGATTTTTTTAAAGGTATGAATGCATAAATCTACAAATTTTAAATGAAATATTTATGGACAGCAATACTTGTATAGGATTCTGCTTAATTCAGATCTAAATGGACAGTTTTTCTACAAGTTTTTTCTTCTTAATCTGATGGGAAATCATGTTCGATACAAAACGATATTAAAGTCAATTACTTCCGTAAAACACATTAACTGCAACAATTACAAAGCTTTTAATGTAATTAATCACTAAAAAGTCCACATCTTACAGAAAAGGTTATGAATTTTACTACCTTAAAAACAAAAATTGACGTGAATATACAAAAGCAACATCATGAATTATACATTAATATGTCAATTTTCTACGACTTCTTGTCAATTACGAAATAATACGTTTTCAGACTGGTAAAAAATATCCATCATTTTTCTGTTTAAAGTTCTTTAATCAAATTTTTATGACCTAGAAACGTTATTGTTTCATGCAGCCTTACACGCTTATAGAATGGTATTTTTATTTGCATGATTTCATCTGAAATAAAAACTATGAAAATTTACAGAGTTTTCCTTGTTTTTAAAATATATTCTGTATTTAATATCATTAAATTTTAATTTATTTCATTAAATGAGAAAAAAGTTTGTGTAAAGAAGATATTATTTACTTGTTACCCGTAGTTGAATCAGTTTTCACGTGCTTATTTGGTTTTCTTACTTT